AATCATGAATTTCGCAGCAACCTGGATGGAATTAGAGTTTATAATACTGAGTGATCTCTCACAGATACAAAGATCTGAGCATCCCATGTTCTCACTCATAAGTGGACCTTGAACAACTACTGTAATACTGTAAGAAAAGGATTGAAAGTGGTGGGAAACTATGGGGGGTGGACAGGGAGGGGAAGGGAGGTGGGATTAACGGTAGTCAATATCTGCCTGGGGAAAGGGGGTACACCTCATCAACAAGGGTACCTGCACAATGAATATTTGTATAGCTAACCCTTAACTGTACCCCACAACTTTAAAGTAAAAAATATATATTATTAAAAAAAGAAAGAAAAAGAAAATAAATAAATAAACTCTATACTTTTTTTAAAAAAAGAAGCTAGAAGTGTCTAAGTTGGGAGTTAATAACTTGTCCTCTTAGCTTATAGGTCTGTAGAACAAAAGAAGTCCCATGTGAATCTGATGGGGCGAATGCTGTTCTATTTTCTGTTATCAAGAATACCATTACCACTCAGAAAGGCTGGTTTTTTAACTGGAAGCTGTGACTGGATAGGAATGTTGAGGTATCTTCAGTGGAGGATAGAGAAGGGTATTTTTCCTGCAAGAAAAGGTATAAACTAAATGTATTTGTGTCCAGAGGGGCATAATGTATAGTCATTAGTTCTATTTACCAAATAATATTTGACTTTTTAAGCACATGGTGAGATAGTTCTTCTTACCCTCTTTGGGATTAGGAGAGCCATGTACCTTAATTTAAACCTGAAATGTGAATAGAGTTGATGTCTGCCATTTCCAGGCAAAAAAGCCAGGATCTCCTTTGGGAATCTTTCTTTGGATATTGGGAAAACACCAGTTGGAGTCCACATTGCAATGTGAGACCACTGTAGGGCAGAGGCCAAGAGATAACACTTGATGACATGTAAAAAGAGCAAGAAATAAGCTTTTGTTTATTTTCGTCCACTAAAATTGGGGATTTTTTTGTTCCCGAAACATAACCTAACCCAAATGACTAATATACTATGTGAGTTTCCACAAGTGCCATAGTCTACGTGCACTTGTAATGGTGGGGATAAACCAAGAGCCTACCTCATAAGTATTATCATAAATAATTACATGTGCTAATTGCAAAATGCTTAAAATAGTGCCTGGGAAGAGTAAGTGCTCAACAGATATCACTGGGTGTTATTGTTTTTTGTTTTTTTCTTGTAGATTTTAGTAGATCTGTACTAATGGTGCCCCATATCACATCTTCTGGACCCACTTGGTTTTAGCCACAGTTACAGAGGGTGACTCTGCACAAACCCAGACTCACCCATGCCAATGGGGTTGTATAACATGTTCATGCTGCATTTCTATTTTCCATCCCATAACCTCTGACACGTGGAAGCCTGTTCCATCCACAAGCAAAAACTGTCCAGAGATATAATATGGCCGGTTATGGAAAATATAGGAGTAACTCTCAAACAATAGGGCACAGAAATTGGTGAGTAAAACCTTATTTTTTTTTTTCTCTGGTGAACAATTCTAAGAGGTTCTCTGTTCACTCATCAGGAAATTTCCGTGGAACGGACTCCCAATGCTTGCTCCCTGAGGTTTTCTACATATTAGTTTTCCCTCTGTCTTATATTATCCTGGATGAAGATATTGTGGTACAAAACTTTCCCTCCCAGCTACAATTGGCATGGAGGAGGAGGAAGAGGACGAGGACAAATATTGTCAGATATTTGAAAGTGACCCTCATACCCTACTTCAGCCCTTTGAGTCTTCTTCAGGCAAAACCTTCACTTGTGTCACACAGTGCCTGCAGGATATGGAGCCCTTCCTCATTCTCACTGTCTTCACTTAGCTGTAAAGTGCAGATCTGGACTCTGGTAACCTAGGGCAGAGATGTCCACAAACTTTCTTGGCAACTAGTCTGATTTGCTCTGCTGCACTGAAAGTTAATTAAAACTGAGAAGTACTTTACACATTAACAGTTCCCAGTTGCAAACCTTTTTTTTTTTTTTTTAAACAGTGTCTCATTTGGTCTCCCAGGCTGGATTGCAGTGCATGGTCATAACTCACTGCAGCCTCCAATTTCTGGGCTCAAGCAATCCTCCCACCTCAGCCTCCTGGGTAACTGGGACTATAAGAGCATGCCACCAAACCCAGCTTATTTATCATGTATATATGTATTTATGTAGGGACAGGATCTTGTTATGCTGCCCAGGCTGGTCTCGAACTCCTGGCCTCAAGTCATCCTCCTGCTGTGGCCTCCCAAGTCACTGGGATAACAGATTGTGAGTCACTGATCCCACCTCCAGTTGTAAGTCTTGCTAACCCAATAAAAATAAAGACATTCTTCTTATTATATTATCATGATCACTACTATCTTATTGTATATCTGCTTATTTGAAATATTGTATTATTTTAAATACTTTATATTGAACATTTTACCAAGAACTATTTAATACTTCTAGCAATCCTAGAAGGCAATACCGCTATTCTACTCATTTTGCCAAAGGGGTAACTACAACTCAGAAATTAAATATGCTCCTTATGGTTGCACAGACAGTAGGAGGCAGCACCAAGATTTGAACCCCAAATTTACATTAGATCCATGCCTTTGTCACCTCTATGGCAACTCCCTACATTGAGCCTATGACTGTATCCTTACTAGACATCATTCTATTTGATTAGCCCTACCCTGTCACAACGTGGAGATGCCTTTGGGTCTTCCATGTTCTGCCCTATGTATTAAGAAGTATCTTCCTCAGCTCCAAGTTTATAGTATGCCACCCTTATAATTTTAAAGACTCTTACATATCCATGGGATCTTTTATCCATATTTAAATGTTTTTCCTATTTTATTAGACATATATATAACAAAGTTCACACATAGTGATTTTAACATCAAAGCTTGTCTTTAATGAGAGATGCTGTCTCTGTGATAACTTTGACATGTCTGTGGTCATTATTAATGCTGTTCACCAATTTTTCCTAGTTCTGCATGCATCTTCTGTGCAGGTCCTTGGATAGCACTATCTGACCCTCCTGTGGTTGAGCATGACTAACCTTGTCCAATGAGCTGTGAGTATAAGTGGTTATGTTACTTTTGGGCTGGAGCCTATAATTACCTACTCGAGACCTTCTAGAGTTCTCTTTCCCTCTACCACAATGGCCAGCAAAGTTCCAGACAGTTAATGCCCCATCCGCCTGGGTCTACGAGTGAGTAGAGCATGGGACAGACCCTCCACCTGACACACGATACATTTATGGCATGAGAGAAATACATCTTGTTTTAAATCACCAAGAAATGGCAATTTGTTACAGTAGCGTAAACTATCCCATCTTGACAGATTGTTCTTGGATAGGTCACTTTATTGCTTTAATTTCATCATCTGATTTAATAAATAAAGGAAAGAAAAAATTAACATTTAGTGAGGATCTCTTAAATGTAAGTTGCTTCATTATATGTAATCTAACTTTGTCTTCTTCTTTTTTTTTTTTTTTGAGTCGGAGTCTCACTCTGTCACCCAGACTGGAGTGCAGTGGCCGCTCCTGGCCACTGCCGCCTCAAGACCTGCTGGTCTCCGGCGATCCTTCCGCCTCAGCCTTCCGAGTAGCCGGAATTACCGGCACACGCTACCACACCCGGCTAATCTTTTGATTTATTGTAAAGATGAGGTCTCACCTGCCCAGGCGGGTCTCGAACCCGTGGGTTCAGGCAAACTTTTTCTTCTTAATTACCATAAAAGTATCATTTCTTGCAAAAATATTCCTAAGTCCAAAGAAATCTCTCAACTCCACTACTATCACAGTAATCCAAGCCACTACTATTTCTTACTAGCTTCTTACCCACCTCTTTTTAAAATTATCCCCTCCTTGATTCCTCTGCTCAAAACCCTTTGAAAACATCTTGCAGTCTGAATCAAACCCAACCTCTTTGTCATAGTCTATAAGAGTTTATAGGAGCCTATACCTGTCAAACACATCAATTTAATCATTCATAGTCTCCTGACCACTCATTAATTCCAATTATCCTAACCATTCTGATGATCTAACACATCAATCTTTTTTTCTGCCTCGGGACCTTTGCACTTGTTATTACTTTTGCTGGGAGTATACTTCTCGTGGGTCTTTTACAACTGACATTAACATTCAGACTTCAGCTTAGGTGACATCTCCTAAGATGTCTTCTTTGACCACCCTTGATAAATAACTATGTATCAATTATTATCTGAAATCATATTATGAATTGATCAGTTTGCTTTTATATTTTCAAAATTCTCTACTGTAGGAAAACCTTCACAAAAGCTGAGACTTTTTCTTGTTTATTCACTGATGTTTCAGACAGCAGGCAAGGCGAGGTGATGTGCATGGCCCCTTCAGGTTTCTGAGACTATTGTTGATGCAATCATAACCAAAAAGTCACACTGATCATATTTTCACAAGAGAGCCCTGAATTTCCAGTGACACAAGATAGCTTGAGAAATCTATTGATCCCCTATTTTGCTGCGCAGATGACAAGGATCCATGGAGATTTTTCCTCCTCCACCCATGACTGTAACTTTAATTTGCATTTCCATCAGATTCCCACAACTTGGCAACAAGCATCACTGGCTTATGATGGGCACCTTATTGGAGTCAAAGTGACATCGTCTGTGTCAGCTCTGCTTTCCCAGCTCCTTCACATTCGGAGAAAATTCCCCCTCCTCCCCTGCCAGCACTCCCAACCTACTGTTCCTATGCAGCCTGACACACACTCAGTGGCGCCCAGGCTGTCAGAGGAGGGGCTTGTGTCTGTTAAAAAGGATCATCAGCGGTCTGCGCAGCCCAACCTTGAGGCTTCCCCCTCTCCCAGCTTTCTTCCTTGAGCCTGTGCTTTTCTGACTTTTTTTTTTCCCCCTGGCTCAGCTTGAAACAGAACCTCATAGCAGGGGAGGCTCAGGGCTTCGATTTTAACATCAGTGATGGAAACACTTGAGAATACATCCTGGAAACACCAGCAGGAAATGGAAGACCCACTGAAGAAATACCTGAACAGCACCGAAGACTACCTGACCTTCCTCTGTGGACCCCGACGCAGCCCCCTCTCCCTCCCCGTGTCTGTGGTGTACGCTCTGATTTTTGTAGTGGGGGTCGTTGGCAACCTCCTGGTGTGCCTGGTGATCCTGCGGCATCAGGCTATGAAGACACCCACTAACTACTACCTCTTCAGCTTAGCTGTTTCCGACCTCCTGGTCCTACTCCTGGGGATGCCCCTGGAAGTCTACGAAATGTGGCACAACTACCCCTTCCCGTTTGGGCCCGTGGGCTGCTACTTCAAGACAGCCCTCTTTGAGACCGTGTGCTGCGCCTCCATCCTCAGTGTCACCACAGTCAGCGTGGAACGATACGTGGCCATCCTGCATCCCTTCCGCGCAAAGCTGGACAGCACCCGGCGACGGGCCCTCCGGATCCTCGCCGCTGTCTGGGGCTTTTCCATCCTCTTCTCTCTGCCCATCACCTGCACCCATGGCATCCAGCTCCGCCACTTCCCCAACGGGTCCGTGGTCCCGGGCTCTGCCATCTGTGTAGTCATCACGCCTATGTGGATCTACAATTTCATCATCCAGGTCACCTCCTTCCTCTTCTACATCCTTCCCATGGCTGTCATCTGTGTCCTCTATTACCTCATGGGCCTCCGGGTGAGTATCCAAGCTGGCTGGCTGGAGCCAGCATCCCTTCTCTTTTCCCTGACTCAAAGTTCAGAGGAAAACTTGAAACTGGAGAAATTCAGAATTCAAAGGGAACACAGAGAAAAATAGAATGAGCTCAGATGGGAAATTGAGAAGTTAAAGGGCTTGCCTCAAATTAGATGCAGAGTAACCACAATTATTTATTATTTCCTTGCTCATCTTCCATTACTCTCCCCTCTATTCTTGTGGTTCTCATAGCTAAGTGTTTCTAAGAATCACTTAGAAAACTCCCTTTGAATACTAATATGGCACTCCTCATCACAGGGAAAATCTGATTCAGTAGGTATGAAATGGAGCCTCATTTTAAATAATCACATCAGTTGGTCACACCTTGAAAGACTCTTCCACACCCTGCTATCTCTTTCCAGCCCTCATCTACTGCCGGCTTTGAAATTTTTCTCTGCATCAACTTGGGCTGAGTATAACACAAACATTCCTGCCTATCTTATAGCTCAAGACAGATACAGTTTTAATGTCAGACCCTTCCTTGTGGTTGTTTTGACCCTTTGGTTGAAATATCAGATTAAAATGCTGGAGTTAAATGGCCATAAAGATGGAAATAATAGAAACTGGGGACACCAAAAAGGATGGAGGTGTGGAGGAGGGAGTTTAAAGTTCTGAAATTACCTGTTGGGTACAGTGTTCACTATTTGGGCAATGGGCCACCTGAGACCCAATCCTCACCACTAAACAAAATGTCTATGTAGCAAATATGCACTCTTACTCCCAGATATAAAATAAAGTAAAATATTTTTTTAAAAAATAGTATACCCTGAGTGAGATCAACTTGGACTCCTCTTGAGCAGGTGAAAATTGAGGGGGAGAGAGGTGAACAGAGCACAAGAGAGAGTAAAAGGTAGTGTAAGTAAGAGATATCTGGGATAAGAGAAGATGGTCAATTATTTTGTACAGAACTAGAAGTTCTTTTCCTCTGTTTATGTGATAAAGTGATTTCTTTGGAGAGGGGCTCTAAATTAGCTGAGAGAAACTAATTTTGATTTGGGTAGCAGTGAGTCTCTATATCCTCTCCCAATACACTCTGCACACAAATCCATGGAGATGAATATTTTTGACTGAGTGGTTTTATACCCATTTAATAAGGAAGCTTGTGTTATAAACAGTTATGAGACCATTTTGACTCCCAGGTTCACAGCTGACATATAATATGCCTTTAGACAAGCCACATATTTTATCTGGAATTAGTTTTTCTAATAAAAAATGAAAAGGTCACAACAGATCACATCTAAGATTCCTTCTAAATCTGTCTATAATTCCTTTTTTTAAAAAAGGGCGGGGGGGAGGGCCTGTGAACTGAAGCAGTGTTTTAAATGAAAAGGGAGCAAAATCACATTCCCACCACATGCTTGGAGATGGCTCTGACACCATATATTATGTGACAACTAATATTCTCCATCTCAGCACATCTTTGGAAAAAATGATTGTCAGCAATGAATGCCCCTTAGGTGGCGTGTATTACCCCTTTTGCATACTTACTGCTCCTAAGGTGAATGTCAAAGTCTAAGTAACAAGAACAAATTCTAAGTTCACAGACATCTAGGCACAAGTCCATATGCAATCAGGCAGAGGGCAGTGCTAGTCTTCTCCTGGAGGCTGGCCCCTGTATTTCCAGAGACATATGGTATTCTAGACTAACTCACAGACATGTCTTAAGAGTGCCCTGTGCATCTTACTGAGAGGAAAGTACTTCTACACAACTCTAAATAAAGTCTTATGAGAAATTTCCACCAAAACGTATTACTTCCATCTGGTCCAATGCCAAACACTCACCTTTCTTGGGTTAGTGTGAGAAAAATAGTTAACTCTGAATAGGAATCACACATATTTTTCCTTTTAACCTATTATATTGGATTTAAGTTTGTTTTATTGTCATGAATCCACAGCTACCTTGAATAAGGAGCTAAGTGAGAGCTCAGACAACATCTTAGAAACCACTTTATGTGTAATATAACATATGACAGCCTTTTCTCAGGAAGAATTTGGTGTTACCCAAGGTACTAGAGGACACCAGGAAAGGATCTATATGCTTAGAAAGTCATTCCCAGAATAACTTTAAAATCCGTACTGAAATTCAGGAAAAGTAGGTCCTAGTCTGTGACATTGACCTCAGAGCCTTTTTGTATGCTATACCTTTTGCCTAAAATGTTCCTACCATCTGCCACCACATTCCGTTTTGCCTTTCTAACTCTTAATCATCCTTCATGTCATACTTCAATCACTTCCTCAGGGAAGCTCTCCCAGATTCCCTAGACACACCAGGTCCGTGTTGTAGGTACTCATGATCCCCAGTGATGTTCCTTCTATAATTCTATACTTGTGGATCCCTTAATTAATTTATTTATCCTTAACTAGACTGTAAACTCAGTGAATGAATGATCTATCACAGAAACAAAGAACAGAGTACCACATGCTCTCACTCATAAGTGAACCCTGAACATTTACCATAATATTATGAGAAAAGGATTGGCAGTGGCAGGATACTGCTGGGATGGGGGGTGGGGGGAACACAACATCAGTAAGGGTACCTGATCTCAAATCAGGCAAAGTGGGGACCAAAGGGAGGCCCAAACTTTACCTATACGATGACCATTTATATACATAGTCCTGAATTGTACCCCACAACTTTAAAAAATTTAAAAAAAAAAATACTTCCCTCATAGCTGAACCTCAGATTCTCTACCATTAAAACAAAAGACTCGGAAACAAGGCCTCAAAGAAACATAACAATGGTTGTTAAGTTACTGACTCTTTTGGAAAGTCTAAAGGTGTGATTGACTCTGGCACCCACTGCCTTCAGAAGATGGCAAACCCAAGGGCTGATGAAATCACAGGAACAGGGAAGGAGCAAGGAAACCACATGTATGTTCAAAGCTCAACATGCAGTCATGCTGCATCATTCCAGGACAGTCTCCACTGAGTTTCCCTCCAGGGCATGAATACTGTGGAGATGGAAAATAGACAATTCTAGGGCAAGGTCCTCCCCATGTGGGAAGAAGTTCTGGTGACAATCTGATTTAGTTCTTGTATCTCCTGCATATGGCACTAATGCTTTAGTTCATGAGGATGGATGCATAAATCGAAGCAGATTCCAGCCATACAAATGCAGGATTGTACTTTTTTTTAGTAAACAGATTGTATTAAAATTGCAGAGATATTTACACAAAATTTAATATTACATTCTCACTCCGTTTTATAAAAATATATTATTATAATCTTGGTATTCTGAAACCGGATCTTCACAAACTATGCAAATGAACAGCTGGTGGAGGGATTTCAATTAGTATAAACCAATGATCAGAATAATATATCCACCTGAATGATAATCAACCTCATGAACCCTCCCTTCACTTTGATCTTACATAGCTGAAGAAGGTAGAGTATAAAGACTTCCTATATAGTAATCACAGTTTTTCACTCTTCTTTTGGCAACCTGAGTTTTAAAATAAAAGTTTGGGGATGGGCATGAATAATGGTTGAATATCTGCTTTGTTAAACATCTGATGGGAAGTGAAATGATTCCAAATAAAACAGTATTTAATATTGGCTAAGCAAACTGCTTTGATTTTGTTCTATTATGTCAAACACTTAAAATTATTTTGGAGTAATGAACAACATGCATATGCAATCAATATTTCACTCTTTTCTAGTTAGTTCATGTCATTATAACCTAAGGAAGCTTTAAAGTCAGCAATGATTCATCCACACATGATTTCCTTTCTAGTGCAAACTATGCTTGTACAGGAAGCCTGTTCACAAAATAAGTTTGTGAACTATTTGCTTGATGTTTTATTTTTAAAAATTATACCTTGGGGTGGAGACATTACTACTGAGAATTGTAAGACCCAACCAAAGAAGTGACTAATGGAGCTCAATATTTTTTTATTGTTCTTAATTAGGGACGGAAATAAAACAACAGAATAACTGTATCTTATAATAATTACAATCTTTTCTAAATGACATGAAACAATTAGAGCCTTTAATGGATTTAATCTAAGATGAGTTAGTAAAGTTTGTAGTTTTACTCACTGATCTAACCTTGAACGTACTTTCTTCTTGGTGCATCTAGCTTCTTCTCTGCATCAGCATAGGCACCCTTTTTAGGTGAGTGCTACCATGAGAAAAGGGATTTCAAGAAGGGACTCAGTACTCCATATAAGTGAGCCCACGAATATAAACAAATTTTTATTCCAATTTTTATTATATTTTTTCAGTAGACTTGAGATAATAATCGGAATCACAATAATAGCAATACTATATAATTTTCTGAGTATCATGTGACAGGCACTTGAGATAAGCACTCCAGCTGCATTATTTAGCTTTACTATTGTATTAAAAATATTTTATCATCTTCAGTTTTCTCCCAACTAATCCTAAATACTGCTTAATGAGCCCCTATTTCTTTTCAAGTTCTAAGTGACTCTAAAATCCCACAGAATATTTCTCTCACTTTATGAAGACACAGGTATATATAGAGAGCACCTATATATCCTCGAGACTGGTGGCCAGGTTTATTAATCATGCACTTGAATATTTTAGGGCCCCTGTGGTCCTGAGCTCTACCTGACTTCAAGGACTGTATAAGTTTGTTAGAGAGATAGGATATAGATTTGTTGAATTTTAGAGGCAATTTTTAATGACCCACTCTTCCAAGTCTTATTTAATTTTGAATACTTTCTCTAAAATACTCCCTCAATATGCCATCTAGCCCAGAAAACTCATTGCTTCTTATAATAATTTGTTCCACTGTAGCACATAATCACACTCTTTTTTTTCTTATCTTGAATTGGAATCTATCTCCCTATAACTCAACAGATTGATCCTAATCTATCTCTGAGATAATATAAAATAAGTTAATTTCTCCTTCCACGTGATGGCCTCAACTAATCAGTTAGGATGTTTCACCATTGCTAATGGGGACAACTTCAACTAAATCTGGCAAAACATGAAGGGGAACATAGGACTAAAAAGCCCAGAATTAGAGCTGGCTCTTAGTGAAGATTAATCCAGTGAAACACCCAATGTCATTAAGGGCCTAGCTTTATTTATGTTTCTTTGCTCTTCTATCTGTGGCGTTGGTTTCAGCCTCACACTACATACTATCCTCTGGTGGCTCCAAGCACTTGCCTCATGGATGGTGGAGAAAAAAATAACTGCTGTAATTCCATGCCTTTTTTGCAGGGAAGGATTCTTCTGGTTATCCCAATAAAAAAGAAATAAAACTTCCATTAGAAATACAAGCAGATATCTGAAATCTTGTTGGAACGAATTATCCTATGTCCATGACTGGAGAATAGGTCAAGCTAACTGGTTTAGTTATTTAGGGACTATGCCTGGACCTGGAGTTGGGTGTCATTTCTATCCAAATTAAAGACTAAGGATGGGAAAGAAGTAGATTCCCTAAGGGAAAGTCAAGGTACTATCAGTAAAAGAAGAGGGAAATACGTGGTGAGGAACCAATGGGCAAAAATATACAAACGGTATACTATGCTCACTTCTAGACATGTGATGGTAGTTTATCATGAGTCTTTCAGGTTTTCTTTATCTGGCTGAACATCCCCCAAAACTAAATATATGTATAAAATGAAGAGAAAAAAATTCCACAAATGAATGAATGATGTAGATACTCAGTGCTAGGGAAGTTCAGAGGAAGGACAGGACAATGGGCTAAAGTAGCCACCAGTCTCCTAGGTGCATGTGGGACATGAACTAACCAAGAAAGATTGTGCCCACAGGCAGTGTTGAGATTTTAAATTTTCAGAGTTTACATCAAGGATGACCACATCTTCCAATTCTGTTGAATATATTTTGACATCTAAACTCAAACACTCTTATCAGTGGTATTAGGAAAACAGCAATTTCAAAATTGTGCTTGTCAAAATGGTACGAGGTAACCCAATGAAATGGGTTGAAAGAGACCATTGTTTAGATAAAGAAATACTATTTCCCTTTTGGTTGGGATGGGGATATGAGATGTTAGTGTGGAAGGTGGGGTGGGGTAAGTGGAAGAATGAGATACTATATCCATGGAACATGTTGAATATTCATAGTGCCCATCAGCGTGTTAAAGACTCTCAGAAGATTCACAATGAAGACTGAATTTTCATGAGGCAGGAATGATACCTGTTTTGTTTTATACCACTTTCCCACCACATAGCAGAGGGATTTTGCTTTAATACATATATGTTCAATAATTATGAATGAGTGCATGAATGAATTGGAAAACCTATTAATTTTTTTTTAACTTCAGAATTTTACATTTTTCATGGAACGCTTATTGATGTGCTACAAAACTAAGGTTTCATAGAGTTGCATACAAAAAATGATTGCACTACAACTTGACCACAATCATTTATCCAGTTAGTTAGGTGACCTGAATCCAATTCCATCTGCAAGTTATGGTTAAACATTTGACATAAATCCTTGCACTTTTCAACATCCCAGTTTTTTGCATTCAAAATGAGTAGAGTTACATTTCTCAGCTCTTAATAGGAAAAAATCATGCTTATCTTTCTTACCATCTCTTTCTGCTTACTTCTCTTTCAGCTGAAGAAAGACAAATCCCTTGAGGCAGATGAAGTGGCTGCAAATATTCAAAGACCCTCCAGAAAATCAGTCACCAGAATGCTGTGTAAGTTCTCCATTTTGTATTTTGTTTTGTTTTGTCTTGTTTGTAAGATAGAAAGTATTGCATTTAGGACTGACAAAGTACTGCTGGGGTCAGGTTCTAGAAATTAGTTCGTGGGTACAATGTATGTTAATCGAGTGACAGATACCCTAAAAGCCCTGGCTTGACCACTATCAATCTATGCAGGTGACCGCCTTGCACATATAGCCCATAAATTTGTACAAAAAATTATCCTGAAATATAATATTTGTGAGGGTAGACTAAGATCAATAAGCAAGGAAGAGAGATGTGTAATGAAGACACCATGTAATGGTATAGACAGATGCTAGGGGAGCTGTTTTCCTTGGTTTACTCAAGCTTGTAGGACCTGTCTTGTTTCATTTTTTGTTTCAACCCTCAAAACAACATGCTACATTGCTGTCATTGCAATACACTCTGCCTGGTGTTTGGTGAATTGCATCCACACTCCGGATCTTTGAGCATCACTTTACCCTCTCTGTAAACTGAGCAGGTGACTTTTCACCTATTTGTGTTATGGGTTTCTTTAAAAATATGATGAAATAAAAATACAATGAAAACTGTAAACTTTTTACCCCAAAAGTGTACAAATACATAATACACAAAACAGTTTACAATGCATTTCAGGAAATCATGAAACCCTTCGTGCTCACACATGGGCTCCACAGGCTCTTGCAATTCCAGATTAAGAACATTTGGCCAAGAGTGCCTCTAAATAGCGATTTTATCTATGACATTTTGTAACTTTTTGTTTCAAACAGTATACTTTTGCATAATAGGATGTTTTAAAAACCCACATATTGAACTGCACTCTCTCAAAAGAATGCTGTAAAAATATATGATCCAGAACTAGCCTATGAGAGTTACTGATAAGGAGAAAATATGTATTTTCCAAATCAAAACCTAAGGTTTGGAAGAAATGAATCTGCAAGGCTAATATGCATCTTGAGGAAAATCTCAAGCATCTTGTGATAGTAAAGATAAGTATTCTACAACTTTAGAAAAGAACAAAAAAGATGTCTATACTCGCAGAGTTTAAATGTCCCTAAAGAGAAACTACGGTAACATCAATCCGTCTTGAGAGCTGAAAATAAGAAACTGGAAGAAATTCTTTGCTTTAGCAATTTATAATATGGTAGATACATCCCCTCACAATCAAAAGACACTTGTAAAGGATTATAATGTTTGTGATTGTGTGATCTTGCTCTCTCTCTCCTCTCTATCCATTACATAATTTTAAATTATTGAACGCAGAGAAACTTCTAATTATTTCTAGGGTAACAAGATGAATTCATACATACGTTATTAATTATTATTAATCTGTTTTTCACAATAAAATGTCTCCAGCACTTTGAAATAAGTTCAATCCTATTTTAAGTATTCTAAAAAGATTTACATTATATGAGAAATCTTGTACAATCATATGGAAAACTGATCCCAGATTTTTTTGGGGGGGGTAGGGCTCAATTTTATTGTATATTTTTCATTTTAAAAATGTGGGGTACAGTTCAGAGGTAGGTACATAAGTGGTCATTGTCCAGGTAAAGTTTGGGCCTTCCTTTGGTCCCCACTTCACCTGGCTTGAGTTCGGTAACCTTATTATTGATGTTACATGTCCCCACCCCTCCCCTGGTAGTGTCCTGCTACTGTCAATCCTTTTCTTATAGTATTATGATAAAATGCTCAGGGTGCACTTATGAATGACTACATGTGGTACTCAGTTCTTTGTTTTTGTGATAGATCACTGAATATGATAGACTCTAATTCTATGCAAGTTGATGTGAAGTCCATAATTTTGTCTTTTTTATGGCTGTATAATATTCCATCTTGTATATGTGCCATATTTTATCCAGTTCACTTTCAATAGACAGCACAGTTGGTTCTATGTTTTTGCTATTGTGACTAATGCTGCAGTAAGCATGGGTGTGCAGATATCTTTTTTATAGAGTGATTTGAGTTCCTCCAGGTATATTCCCAGAAGAGGGATTGCTGGATCGTATGAAAAGTCGATTTTTAGATCTTTTAGGAATCATCACACTATTTTCCACACAGGTTATACTAGATTACACTCTCACCAACAGTGCAGAAGTGTCCCTTTTCCCTACATCCTCTCCAGCATCTGTTGTTTTTTGAGTTATTGATGATGACTGGAGTTAGGTGGTATCTCAGTGTGTTTTTAATTTGCATATCTTTGATGATTAATGAGGCTGAGCATTTTTTCATGTATCTGTCTTTTTTAGAAAACTAATCATATCTTTTGCCCACTTTTTTTTTTTTGCCCACTTTTTAATAGGGCTATTTTTTTTTTTTTTTCCCTTTTGGCACGTTTGAGTTCTTTGTAGATCCTGGATTTGGGCCTTTGTCAGATATGCATATCTCGGATCTTGTACAATTCATTCTTATGTTTTAATCTTCAATACTGAGACTTTTGGGATCGGGTTTGCCTGCAACAGTTATAGCTTAACAAAGAGGGAAGAAAAAAACTGTTAGAAGGAAGGAATGGGTCAAAGTGAACACTGTATAACTACTCTTGCTCTGTCTGCCTTCTGCTCTCTCATTTATCCTCCTTTTTCAGTTGTCTTGGTCTTAGTGTTTGCCATCTGTTGGACTCCATTCCACATTGATCGTCTCTTCTTCAGCTTTGTGGAGGAATGGACAGAATCCCTGGCTGTGGTGTTCAATCTTGTCCATGTGGTATCAGGTAAAAACTTGGCTGGTTTGGTTACATGACCTACTATGATATAATGAAGATACTTCCTTTTTATTTTATTCAAAGATTGACTAGTTATGTTATGGGTCTAATACTAATTTATATGAAAAATACTAATATATAATAATATAATATATATTATATATTATTAATATAATAATTAATTATAATTGTAATATGTTATATATATGTGTGTGTGTGTGTGTGTGTGTGTGTGTGTGTGTGTGTGTGTGTGTGTGTATACCAGATCACTATTTTAGAGGCTACCTTATAGGAAACTTCAACTCTTAAGTGTGATGATTACAGCAGGAAAAATCAAGGAGCGATTCCTTTGGCTGTCCTTCCAATGGCCATGCAATTGAATTGGTTCTTATTTAGTAAACATTTTTTTGTCCCTGAAATCTCATATTGCCTTCAGCAGGTGTCAGATCCCTATGAAAGACAACCCAAAGGTATCCATAGGTCATCAATTTCTGCTTTTTAGGCTACTTTAGCTTTGTTTGTTGAGGATACCATAGAACATGGTAGAAACAGTAGTCAGAAGGTCACTAAATCAGAGGATCTGGATTTGTACCCAAACTTCACCATTAATTTTTCTGAGTGATCTGGACCACATGGATTCCTTCATGCTGAAGTTTCTTCTGTTGTAAATGGTAACGATGCCTGCTGCAGACAAATTATGGATTGATGGTAAGAAGCAAATGAGTAATTTGTATTAAAGAGCTTTTTAAGCTTAAAAAAAGGCTATTTGTCTTTCTATTATCACCATGACCAGGTTGTTAAGTAAATAATTTTCATTGACATTGTATGGTGCAAGAAATGGTTCTACAAGAAGAAATGACTTACCCAAGAGCCCTCAGTTAGCAAATAGTAAAAACAGTCATCTAATTTAAAGTTCAGCATTCTTTCCACTAAAACAGAGCAAAAGATGGTCACTCAGGTCCTTCTTTCTCAGTCATTGCAGTTAGCCTTAGATTCAGACCTCTTCTGTCCCCCTTGCCTCTGCTGGTCACTGGATGAGTCTATGGGTTGTTTAGATTATCAGAGACATCACCAGAAAGAGAAGAAAAGATCAGTTGTTACAAATTAAATTCCAGATGTGCAGAGAGCAAAAACAATAACATCCATTCTGAATATCATGTATATTATCTCTTTTCTGTTACCCCCTTTTTATACTTGGCAGGTCTTTGTATTGACTACCTTCCAATGTGACTTGAAATTCATAGAACATAAGATTTCAGTTAGTATTCATTTTTTGAATGAACTAGGAATACATAGAAATGTACCTCATTACCACTCCTCCATGCTAATTCTGTACACAGTGCACATGGCACTCTGAATGTCCTGAACTATATAAATGAGTACAGCAAGGAACATGTTGGCAACAGAACCTATAACTTGTTTGATATTCTAAGCCATTCTCTGCCTCTCTATTGATGTTATTTCAACTTTATCCTCACCATGATTCAGGAGGTGGGTTATACCTGGAAATTAGTGCTTTCATGTTTAACTATTTACCATTCAGGACCAAATCTCAAAAATATTTATATCTCTTAGCTTATCCTGTAATTAATCTGAGAAAAAATTGGAGTATTTACATAAATTAAAAGTACTACAAGTTCAAATGAGGCTAGACTAGCTGACTGCACCTTTCCAGATGCCTCAAGGCAACTCTTTTAAGATTTCCAAATTATGGCTTTAATAACAACATGATCTTGTTAAGAGACCATCTTCGTGTTCTATATATTGCAAACTATATAAAGTTTAAACCCTAAAGAAAAATGCCCCCAACTTGTCTTTTTATATTCGAAGTTATAGTATTTCCATTCATAGGACCATACACTTATCAAACTGGTTGATTAGACAGTTCTGTACATTATTTCTGCACAATATAACAATTCCTGTCTCTGGGCATTAGTGTGTGTTCTGCCTTCTACCTGCAACACCCTCTCCTATCTTCCTCAACTATCTCCACCCACTTCTAGGTCTGGCTAAAGTCCAATCACCCCCCCCCCACAAACCTTACATGACCATCATGGTCCTTAAGTTTATGCCATTATGTGAATTGCTATAGCATAACTGTGGGTCTCTCATATTTTTTTCTTAATGGATACTGCATGGTATTATTGTATTGTTGATTACTGAATTTGGCCATAAATTTTGCCTCTACAATACCACTCCAAAACCTTGGAGAACAAAGTCTAAATTCACTACCTTCCAACGTGTCTTGAAATTCATGGAACATAAAAAGAGTTCAATTGGTATTCATTTTTTGAATGAACTAGGAGTACGTAGAAATGTTCCTCTTCACTATTCCTGCATGCTCATTCTGTACACAGTACATATGGCATTCTGAATGTCCTGAACTATACAAATGAGGACAGCAAGGAACATGTTGGCAACAGAACCTATAACTTATTTGATATTCTAAGCCATTCTGAGCCTCTCTATTGATGGTATCTCAACTTTATCCTCACCATGATTCAGGAGGTGAGTTAGGCTGAAATTTCCATTCCCATTTTACTAAGAAAAAAAATGGAAGTGCCAGCATTTTTATAAGGTCACAGGATAAGCCAGGGCCAAGATCAGAAACTAGGTTATCTCATTCCCAAACTTAGGTTCATTTGGGGCCTTGAGAAAATACAACAGAATTTGGCAATAAAGGAAGAGTATGTACCAAAAGGAAAACGACAAACTGCAAATAATTTTTGGAGAAAATAAATGGTAAAATACAGTTATTCAATAATGTGGAAGAGCTATCAAGGGAAAAGAATAGGTAGGAAAGGCACATTGGGAACATTTCTTTGAAGAGATATTTAGCATTATAAGGAATCCCTGCAGGAACAAGTCTTGACTTATTTACCATTTCCTCCCTTACTTGGAGTTTCAAATTATAGATTTAGTAAAATTCCAATGACATAAAACATCTCTTTTTCCTCTGATATTTAGGCATCTCCCATTAATGCTATGAGAGCTTGTTCTTTAATTAAACAAGTAAGGATCAAAGGAAGTTGCCGAACATCTCAGAGAGATCCCATGTCAGCCTAAATTTTTCCAAGCCTCTTTAATCTTCTTGTGTTTGATTCCTAAATGCACAGGTGGAAGATCTGTTTTGAGCATTTTGTATTCTCAGTTAGAATCTTGTATATATTATCACTTCCAAAAAAGCAATCATAAGATTCTAGGCCTTTGTAAATATATATGCTTCTCCCTTCATGCCTCTCAATTTCTTCTCAGCACATCTTTCTTAATCCCCCCCATTTCAGGAGTCTTCTTTTACCTGAGCTCAGCTGTCAATCCCATTATCTACAACCTACTGTCTCGCCGCTTCCGGGCAGCATTTAGGAATGTAAGCTCTTCCTTCTGCAAAAAGTGGCACTCCCAGCAACACGCACAGGGGTCACTTACCCAGCGGAACCTCTTCCTGACAGAATGCCACCTTGTGGACCTGACAGAAGATGCAGGTCCCCAGTTCCTGTGTCAGTCATCCACCGGCAACTCTCACCTCTCCACAGCCCTCTGCACTGCACAGGTACCATGAAGGAACTATCAAAAGTGTCATTCTCAGAAGGCCTGGATTCTTTCAGAGTTGACGTTCCTCTATGCCTCAGAATTGCAGGGAGGGACACTTCATAATCTATGCTTTCTCATGTGATGCTAGGGAGGTAAAATGACGCTTATAGCCTGTGTATCCATTTCTAGTTTTGTTTTTAATAAACATGAAAACTAAGACTTAGATCTGAGTCAAAAACTCAGAACTATCTGATTTTTAGTTATCTTTCCACTAGCCTAAATGTCTCATGTCCCTTCACTAGTTCATGAAGAGAACATGACCCAAAAAGCAGGGCACCTGTAATTTCCACTATAGGAAATGGTTTGTCCTGAGTATCATCTATCTACATTGTGAGTCGGGCTGTCACTCCAGCCAGTGACGCCTGTGAGCCACTGAAGGGAGACATGTTAGGTGCTGTTGTACTTTATATGATTCAAGAAGCCCACATCAGTTCTCCACAAAAATACACAGGCACATCTTGTTTTATTGTGCTTCACAGATATTGTATTTATTTAAAAATGAAGGTTTGTGGCAACCCTGCATGGGGCAAGTCTATTGGCACAATTTTTCCAACAGCATGTGCTCACTTTGTGTCTCTGTGGTGTTTTCTGGTAATTCTCACAATGTTTCAAACTTCTTTTATTATAATTGAATCTGTATATGGTGATCAGTGATATCTTTGATGTCACTATTATAATTGTTTTGTAGCATCATGAATTGTACCCATTAAAGACTGAGAACTTAAATAATAAGTATTGTATCACTCTGACCATCTCACTCACTGGCTGTTACCCCTGTTCTCTCCTTTTTCTCAGGCCTCCCTATTTTCTAAGATACAACAATATTAAAATCAGGCTAATTAATAACCTAAACCGACCTATAAGTGTTCAAGTTAAAGGAAGAGTCACATGCCTCTCACTTTAAATCAAAAGCTGGAAATAATTAAGCTTAGTGAGGAAGGCATGTCAAAATCTGATAGGTTGAAAGCTTGCACTAAACAGTTAGCCAGTTGTGAATGCAAAAGAGAAGTTCTGAAGGAAATTCAAAAAGCTATTCTAGCGAACACATGAATAAGAAAGTGAAAGAGCCTTATTGCTGATAGGGGAAAAGTGTTAGTGGTCTGGATAGAAAATCAAACCAGCCACAATATTCCCTTAAGTCAAAACCTAATCCAGAGCAAGCCCCTAACTCTCGTCAATCCTATAATGACTGAGAGAGGTGAAGAAGCTGCAGCAGCAAAGTTTAAATCTACCAGAGGTTGGTCGATGAGGTTTAAGGAAACAAGCCATCTCCAGAACATAAAAGCGTAAGGTAAAACAGCAAGGTTTTGGATGGAGAAGCTGCAGCTAAGATCACTGATGAAGGTGTCTATACTAAACAACAGATTTTAAGTGTAGATGAAGCAGCCTTACCTTGAAAAATTACCTTCTAAGACTTTTATAGCTAGAGAGAAGTCAGTGCCGAGCTTCAAAACTTCAAATGAAAGGCTGATTGTTGTTAGGGGTTAATGTAGCTGGTGACTAAGTTAAAGACAGCGCTCAATCTGGAAATCCAAGAGCCCTTAAGAATTGTGCTAAACTACTCTGCCTGTGCTCTAAAAAATGGAACAACAAAGTCTGAATGACAGTACATCTGTTTACAACAAGGCTTGCTAAACATTTTAAGCCCAGTATTGAGACCTACTTCTTAGAAACACACACACACACACACACACACACACACACACACACACACACACACACCCCTTTTTTTTCAGAATATTACTGCTCATTGGCAATGAATCTTTTTACCAAAGAACTCTGATGGATATGTACAAGGAGATTAATGTTTTCGTCCCTGCTAACAAAACATCCATTCTGTAATCCATGTATCAGGAAATAATTTTATCTTGCAAATCTTATTATGTAAAAAATGTACTTTCATAAGGCAATAGCTGTCATAAATGTTATTCCTCTGATAGATCTGGGCATTAATCTACTATAGACATATGTATCTATATATCATGTATATGTATCTATATATCATAGATCTATAGATCTATCATAGGTCATAGATATTCTGGAAAGGACTCATCATTTTGATGCCATTAAGAATATTCATGACTCATGGGAGGAGATCAAAATATCAATATTAACAGGAGTTTAGAAGAAGTTGATTCCAACACTCATGGATAACTTTGAGGAGTTCAAGACAGTGAAATAAGTCATTGCAGACACAGAGAAAATAACAAGTGAATTAGAAGTGGAGCCTTAAGTTGTGACTGAATTGCTGCATTCTTATAAAAAAAACTTGAACAGATGAGAAGCTGTTTCTTACAGGGAGCAAAGAAAGTGTTTCCTTGGCATAGAATCTACTCCTCATGAAGATGCTATGAGCACTGCTGAAATGATAACAAGGGATTTAGGATATTCCATACACTTATTTGATAAAGTAGTAGCAGGATTGAGAGGATGGACTTTTATTTTGAAAGACGTTCTACTGTGGGCAAAATGCTGTCAAACAGCATAACGTGCTACCAAAAAAATCTTTCATAAAAGGAAAAGTCAATGGATGCAGCATTCTTTGTTGTCTTTTTTAAATTTTTGTATTTTAGATTCAGGTGGTACAGGTGCATGTTTGTTGTGTGAACATATTGTGTATTCGTGGGGACTGGGCTGCAGATGGCCCATTCCTCAGATAGTGAACATTGCCCCTGGGAGGTAACTTTTGAAAGCTGATTTCCCTCCCCACCACCCCCTCTTTTGGTTTCCCCAGTGTCTATTATTTCCATCTTTGTGACCATTTAGCTCCTACATATGAGAACATGCTTTGTTTGGTTTTCTGTTTCTGAATCGGTTCGCTTAGGATGATGTTCTCCATCTCCATCCATGTTGCTGCAAAAGACATGATTTCACTCTTTTTTATGACTGCATATTATTCCGTGATGTATACATACCACATTTTCTTTATCCAGTCAACCATTGATGGGCATGTAGGTTATTTCCATGATTTTGCTATTGGGAACAGTGCTGCAATGAACATACAAGTATAGTTATCTTTTTTATATGATGATTTATTTTCCTTTGGGTAGATATCCAGTAGTGGGATTCCTGGGTCGAATGTAGTTCTATTTTTATTCTTTGAAAAATCTCCATACTGTTTTCCATAGAGGTTGAACTAGTTTACAACACCACCAACAGTGTATGAGTGTTCTCTTTGCTCTGCATTTGCATCAACATCTGCTGTTTTTTGACTTTTTAATAACTGCCATTCTGACTGCTATAAAGTGATATCTCATTGTGGTTTTAATTTGCATTTGTCTTATGATTAATGATATTGAGCATCCTTTCATATGTTTGTTGGCCTTTTTTGTATCTTCCTCTTTTTTTTTTTTTTTTGCTTTAAAGATGTGGTGTACAATTCAGGGTTTTGTGTGTTTTCTTTAGAGAAGTATCTGTTTATGTCCTTTACCCACTTTTTGATAAGATATTTTGTTTGTTTGTTTTTATATTGAGATGTTTGAGCTCCTTATAGATTGCATGTTTGTCTTTTGTCTGAAGCTCCTAAACCTGATAAATGGCTTAAGTAAAGCTTCAGGATACAAAATGAATATACAAAAATCAGTAGCATTTCTATACACCATTTCTATAACACTCAAGCTGAGAACCAAATAAAGAGCCCAGTCACATTTACAATAGCCACAAAAAGTAAAATAAAATACCTAGAATACACTTAACCAAGGAGGTGAAAGATATCTACAAGGAGAACTACTAAACACTGATTTTAAAAAAAAACTGTAGATGACACAAACAAATGGAAGAACATCTCATGCTCATGGATCAGAAGAATCAATATCATCAAAATTGCCATACTGCCCCAAACAATCTATAGATTCAACACAGTCCTTATCAGAAAATCAACATATTCCTCATGGAATTAGAGAAAAACAATTCTAAGGTTTATATAGAACCAAAAAAAGAGCCTGAATAGCAAAAGCAATTCTAAGTTAAAAGAACAAATGTTGAGGCATCATATCACCTGACTTTAAATTATACTATAGTGCTATGGAAACCAAAACAGCAAGGTACTGGTACAAGAGTAGACTGGTAGATCAATGGAACAGAATAAAGTACCAGAAATAAAGCCACATACCTACAATGAATTGATCTTTGACAAAGTCAACAAAAATAAACAATAGGGAAAGAATACCCTATTTAATAAATGGTACTGGGAAAACTGGCTAGCCATTTGCAGAAGAATGAAACTGGACTCCACTTCTCACTATATATAAAAATTACTCAAGATGAACTAGAGACTAAAATGTAAGGCCTGAAACTATAAAAATTCTGGAAGAAAATCTTGAAAAATTCTTCTGGACATCGGTCTAGGCAGAGAATTTATGATTTGTTTTAAAGATGTGGCTAAAACAAAAATAGACAAATGGGACTTAATTAAACTAAACAGCTTCTGCACAGCAAAAGAAATAATAAATATAATGAACAGAAAACTTATGAAATGAGAGAAAACATTTGTTGTCTTATTTTTTTTAATTGCCACAGCCACACCAACCTTCAGCAATCAGTCAGCATCTATCAAGACCAAGACAAGACCCTTCACAAGCAAAAAGAATGATTCTCTGAAACCTCTGATGATCACCAGCATTTTTAGCAACAAACTATTTATTAATTAAGGTATGCACATATCTCATTTTTATTTATTTACTTATTTTTTATTTTTGACTCAGAATCTCACTCTGTCACCCATGCTGGAGTACAGAAGCATAATCACGGCTACCACAGACTCAAGCTGCTGAGCTCTGGCAATCGTGCCTTCTCAGCCTTCCAAGTAGCTGTAAATACAGATGTGTGCCACCACGCCCGGGTAATTTTTTTTTTTTTTTTTTTTTTTTTTGTAAAGACAGTATTTCCCAGGCTGGTCTCAAATTCCTGGACTCAGACAATTATCTCACCTCAGTTTTCAAAATGCAGAGATTACAGGAGTGAGCCACCATGCCTGGCTCAT